GAGGAGGATCTTCAGGCAAATACGATTCTAGAGGACGTCTTCACTGGAGTGTAATTTACTGATAATCTTAGTGATAAGTTGGATTTTTGGGAGGTAGGTGCCAATTTACCTTTTTTTTTATATTTCGAGGCGTTAAGTTGTTAATGCCTCTAGTGATTTGCCTTGAAATTTTCAGTTTAGATATTTAACTGCATTAAAAACTTATGCTGCACTCAGTGTTTTCTTTGTGTGTGCACTGAGGTACAGGAGCTGAGTTCATGGGATGAGGAGACACCTTTCTTTGATGGCGCAGCCGTCGAAAACGCACATAATTTGTTTAGCTATTTTTAAGCTAGTTTACACCATCATCATGGTTACTATTAAGACCACTACCACCATCACTACTATCATCACAACCACACATACCGTACCCCCACAATCACCACCACTACGAGAGGCAGGCACTCCAATCAGGTTCCTAATGTGTGGGTGTTGTAATCTCTCCTCAACCCGTCACCACTGTGAATCACTGGTAGTCAGAATAAGAAGCATACATTCTATTCATTTTCTATTTATGCCTTATATACAACACGAGATATGTAGAAAAACGGGAGATACTTAAATGGGCGAGACAAAAACGGGAAATCGGGATGTATAACAATATTCAAATACACAACAGTACACAAGTACACACGTTGATATACAAATAAAGAAAGGATACACAACAGGAGACAAAGATGCACACCAAAATACACAACTAGGTGTGTAAATACACAAAATACGGAAATACACATTAGGATACACAAAAACAAAACAGAATACACATGCACAATGCAGATATATACAACATAATCCACAAATACACTACACGATACATGTATACACTTGACACATAATTACGTAGATACACAAGATACTTACAATACACAAATACAATAAAGATTAACATGCACAACTGGATATACATACACAGCTGGATACACAAATACACAACAGGAAACACATACATACTCGAGAGGATACTCAACAGGATACACATTCACCAATACATAGCAAGATACAGACATACACATAGACAACGCCGCCAACTTAGATGACTTCATTGCTGCTTGAGACGCCGTGTTGTAAGGCTACTGCTTCATATCAGGCTACAAGCTAAAGTTAAATGTGAATGTGTTAGAGGACGAGGACACACATAGAGAAGCGCCTTTCATGGTGACCTGCGCAACCTTTACGTCTTCACATTATTTTTTTTTGTCTTTGATAGCTGTAATTAGTGTGATGGATTATTGCGGTTCTGTTGCAATCGGTATTGCAATTCGTGCTGCGGATTTACTGAGAAGAATGTTGGATGACAGGTATTGTCGGCAAATAAAGTACCAAGAGCTTTCGCTCTGGGTACAGCTTTATCAGGCCTCTTTCAGATGACCGAAAGCTCCAGCTGCTGATCATCATATGACTGACCCGCGTCAGGAAACACTTGTTTCCTGACAACTTACCTAACCTAACAGTCATAATTTGATAAAGCTCATACCCAGAGCAAGACAATGTCTATAATGAAGGTTAACTCTCTATCAGGTGTTTTTCTACAATAGAAAATAGAGTTTGAGCACTTCTCATTGTTAATTTATCTCCCAAGAAGTGGACACAGACTCCGGCTAAACATTATAGCCACAGTATATTCCAACTATAAGTGATGAATGACACAGACAGAAAAAGTCTTTTATTATCACCACATTTCACCTGCAAGAGGTTGTATGTTTCACTTTACCATTATACTTGTATTCGCTGTCTATATTCTAAATGTTTTTTGATATGTACCTGTGACCGGTTTCAAGGGTTCTGCGTCTTCAGTTTCGCCCGGGATTGACTTGATTGCCTTTTTGCGTAACAAAAATATCTAATTAAAAGAAAAAGCCCCCGTTCGTCTCAGCGTGGCGGCTGCAGCACCAGGAAATGTGCAAATTCGTAAAATTTATATATATGTCGTGCCGAATAGGTAAAACTTACGATTTTGGCTTAAATAGCAACGCTCTTCTTGGCGAATAAGGCAAGCGAAAATTTGTGTATGCAATAATTTCGCAAAAATAATTCAGAACCTAAAGAAAAAATATATCTCATTGTGTTTGTTTATTATTAAATTATTGTAAACTTATCTAGATTATATTTAGTTGGATTAGGCTAAATTATATTGCGCTTGTTATAATAAGGTTAGGTAAGTTTTCTAAAGTTCTTTTGGTACAAAATTATTAATTTTTACATTATCATAAATAAAAAAAATACATCTTTAAACGTATAAGAGAAAATTTTAGAAAGGCCTTAATTTTAAATGAGTTCTTGCTAATTGACCAATTTTATCAATTCGGCACTATGTAACATATATATATATATATATATATATATATAATATATATATATATATATATATATTAATATATATATAAGCAGTGATTGTGTGTGAGTGAGGTGAAAGTGTTGAATGATGAAAGTATTTTCTTTTTTGGGATTTTCTTTCTCTTTGGGTCACCCTGCCTCGGTGGGAGACGGCCGACTTGTTGAAATATATATATATATATATATATATATAATATATATATATATATATATATATATATATATATATATACGTATATATATATCCATTGGGAAGTGGAACGGAATTCTTCCGTAAGCCATCGTGTCGTAAGAAGCGACTAAAATGCCGGGAGCAAGGGGCTAGTAACCCCTTCTCCTGTATACATATCTGAAGTTTAAAAGAGAAAGTTTTGTTTTTCTTTTTGGGCCACCCTGTTTCTGTGGTATACGGTCGGTTTGTTTAAATTAATATATATATAATATATATATATATATATATATATATATATATATATATATATTATATATATATATATATACAAATATATATATATATATATATATATTATATATATATATATATATATAATATATATATATATATATATATATATATATATATATATATATATATGCAAAACAACCACTGTGAAAGAATAGAGAAGTTCTCTATTCTTTCACAGTGGTTGTTTTGCATATTCTGAAATCACCTGTTTACTGTGATCTTATATATATATATATATATATATATATATATATATATATATATATATATATATATATATATATATATATATGCAATATTATATATATATTGCATGATACGAGAATTGGCTGGACTGTTGAACTTTGCTTCCAACCTGGACGGAAGCTGAGCGGTCATTAAGGTGGCGTGGTCCGAGTCGGTGTCACTGGTTTGAGACTTGCTGGCAGCATGTACCAGGTAACCTTACAGGGCAGAGAGAGAGAGAGAGAGAGAATAAAAGAAGTGGTCCAACTTGAGCAAGTCGTGTGTGTGTGTGTGTGTGTGTGTGTGTGTGTGTGTGTGTGTGTGTGTGTGTATTATGTGAGTGGTCTATCAATGTTCTTGTAAGTTTAAAGACTGCTAAACTTTCCTGGCCGTACTCCAGTGTTCGTTTGTTCAATCAAACGCTGATCTAAATTCCATCCTTTTGTCATGTGTGTACTGAGTTATAATTGTTGCATGGGATTATATAGACACCTGGAGTTTTCATTGAGATTGGGTCCTCACGTTGCTTGTAAAAAACATTGCCGAGTTTATTAGTGTAGTAGAAAGAGGTTCTATTTTGTTCAGTCTCTGTGCTATTCCTTCATGAAGTATGGACAAGGAAGTTCAACAGTCTTCAAACACAAACTTTTAACCATTCTATCAGCTGGAATGAAGCTGTTCGCACGCACGCGCAAACGCACTCTTCTAGCGTGGCCCAGTGGGCTATTTTGTATTACAGTTTTATAACAGTGTAAGAGCAATCATTATTTCATCTGGTCAGTGTTCGGCAAGTCCTTCCGAGTTTATATTTGTCCAACCTTTATATATGTATATATTATATGCACACAGTTATAATGAAATTGTTTAGTTCTAAGGAAAGAACAAAATCAATGTGAGGAGAGGTAGAGAAACGAGGGGGTTGTGATGCTGGACATTTATTTTGCAGATGTTTGCTGAAGGTTACCCACATATCTGTACTCTGAAAGTGAAACTGAACATAATGGTGTCAGGCAAGTTGAGCAATTGAAGAGCAGCTCGCTGTGCTCCAGTGTGTTGGCAACACAATTTTTATATTACTTTACTATAGGATATTTAAATTTTTCTACCTTGGGATTTGCCAGAGAGAGGGGAAATAATGCTAAAATAATTTTGACGCTTTGTTATTAATATTATCAAAGACATTTTATCTTAATTTTAGGGAGAGAGTGATGGAGGAAGGGAGAATAAGGGAGAGCTGAAGAAATGAGGGAGGAAAGGCGAGTAAACGAGGGAGGGCGAGTGAGAGTGAGTGCTCAGGCGAAGGCTGACTTGTCGAGCTCACTCTATAGTGTGTGTGGGGGGGGGGGGGGAGTTACCGTTTGACAAAGGCACTTGTCGATAGATAGCCTGTTTTGTGTTTACTCCTACGTACGTATGTGTGCGCGCACGCTCGCGTACGTATGTGTATGACGTCACACTGAGTGCCAACCGTTATTGGCGATGACCGCTAGTATGGCAGGTAACACCGTTATCTCACGTGTAGTAATGAAACAGTGTATATTTGAATAATTTTGATATACCTGATACCTGCTGTGCTGGGGTTTGTTCAAACAAAAGTTGGCAAATGAGTTTTTTTTTTTTTTTCGTATTCCCGTCGAGAATGATGGTCAGGAAAAACGGCTAGCAGCTATCATGTTACTCAAATAGGTGCTGACATTAAACACGCTTGTGTAGCCAACATTGCACCTCGGGTAATAAGTTGGCAGTCATTAATGTTTACTGTACCCTTCGAGGGAGGTGCCGTGATGCTGGTGTGAGGCTTTTGATTCAAGGAACTGGACCTATCCTCCCAGTCCTTGAATCGAACCTGATTATCTCATTCTCCTCGCTTTATGTGACCCTTAGGTTTATTATTATTTTTATTTATTATCAAAAAAAAAAAACGTATAATTTCAAGATGGCTGTAAGTGATTTAAGGTATGTAATTTTTAAAATAATCGCATTGTGTGTGGGGGGTTATGTTAAGATCACACCACAAAGCAGCAGTTACGTAACACATTGACATTAACAGTGATAACTAAACAAGTACCTTGAAATATGTCATTATCTTGATGTACGTTGTACGCTCTGTCGAAATCCCCCCTCAAGGAAGGTTCCTTGATGTTGGTGAGGGGCTCTTGATTTAGGGAATTGGATCTGTGCTCCAGTTCCTCGAATTAAGCCTGAATGCCTTCCACATTCCCCCCCCAGGCGCTGTATAATCCTCCGGGTTTAGCGCTTCCCCCTTGATTATAATAATAATAATAATAATCTGTCGAAATCCTGAATTAATGTTATAAATGGTAATATACATTTATGTGAGCAGTATTGAGGTTCAATAGAAGTTTGTTTTAGTATTAAGTTTTATTCCAATTTTTATTTGATACTTGACGCCTGCCGAATATGAAATATTTATGCTGTATTTGCCGTATGTTCTGCTATTTTGACCTTATTGACATTTTCATACACATTTTATTTTTTTCAGATCTAGTATTTGCACGTTTGTACTTTAAATGGTTAACTTCTGTATTTCATTATCACATATAAATTATATAGATTTATAAGCAATAAAATATTCAAAATAATACCGTACACTACCAATAATAAATACATATATGGAAGTGTTATCCTAGTACTGATTACGTACATTGTGTTTTGGCCGTATGTGCCATACCAAGGCATCATTTACCCAGCAAACTAAAATTGCCACCTTATGCATACATCTCTAATTCATGCTGTGAGATGTCTAGTATGTTCTTTGACTAAAATGCTGCTTTGTGACATTTTACCTCCGCACTTTATAACCTTATGATCCCTCACCCCTGCCAGATAACTATTGAATGAAAACTGTTTTACTGCCAGTATGGCGGACACAGTTGCTCAAGTCACGTGACTATAAACTGTTTATAGCAACCATCTTCCTCAGTGACTTGAAATCCCTCGACTTTCATTTTATATTGACTACACGGATGTGTGTGTGTGTGTGTGTGTGTGTGTGTGTGTGTGTGTGTGTGTGTGTGTGTGTGTGTGTGTGTGTGTGTGTGTGGTGCGCGCGCGCGCGCGCGCGTGTGTGTGTGTGTGTGTGTGTGTGTGTGTGGTGTTGTGTAGTGTGTATGGCCGTTACCCCATTCACATTATATTGTCATTATTGATATCAAATTCTCGTATGTTGTCGTTGTACTGTTTCTCTGTCATTACCCCATTACATTGGATTCAATTATCTTAGCTTCTTTGTAATGCATTTCCTTAAGCTCTGTAACAAGTCTAGTTGTGAACCTCAAGCTTTCAAATGTTTGACCAAGTTTGGACTCCATGTTGGTACTGTGCACTCTGATAAGCCTGATGTGTATCGTGTTCAAAAGGAGCCTTGATTGAGTTCATGAAGTGCTTTTTTTTTATTAGTCTCCCTTATGCCACTAAGGTTGTGCGGTAAATATTCACTTTTAGCGATATGCTGGTTTAGGTTCACTCGGCCTTGTCCATGGTGATAATTGTATCTCTTCTAATACAGTCCATGGTCTCTTCTCTCCCTCATCCCTTGTAATTGTTTGGGAGTAACTCCAGTAAATACTCATTTGACCATTCTAACAATGTGCCCAAATCGTGTATCCACTCATTAACTTCACATTCAGAGGTGAATGAGAGTAATCCTTAAAGAACCCTACTCGTTACCCTTGACCATTTGGTATCTGTTTTGCCGTTACTGTCTCCTGTTCTTCAGGTATTGCTTGATTTACTGGGGCTTTTATACTTCAATTCTCGTTTCCTTCTCTAATTTGTGGATCAGTCGCCAAGTTCTTTCCTGCAATTCAAGAAGCTAGTCAATCTTCCTCCTCTCCTCCCTCTCCTTATCTTTTGCCGTATCTCCTTTATTCTGTCACAGAACTCGAAAAGGGTAATGAAGCAGGATTTACAATACCTGATTCCATCCATATTTGTTTTCTTTAGCCCAGTTCGTCCTAGATGCTCAGTCTCATGATTATCTTCATCTGTGCTTTGCACAGCATCCACATCAGTGATACTGGCCTGCAGTCCAAGGCCTCTTGTCTATTTCCTTGTTCATATTTGCAGTTTTCCAGCTGCCCGGAAATTACCTTGTTTCTAGTGACTTGTAGATCTTCAGAATAGAGTTGTACTGCCTGAAATACACCGCATGCTAGTGACTTTCTTTTATGCCTAACAATATTTTCTTACATCTAAATTAAATTACCTGTATACTTAAAAATAAATGTTTATTATTATTATTATTATTATTATTATTGCTTTGCCTTTGCTTCTATTCTCAAAACCCGTGAAAATGCATAGCCTTTTGTTGTATCCAACCCTTTTCAGTAGCTTCCTTTCTTTGCCCTTTGTTCGTATGTTGTGTATTAACTTGTATCTTTCCCCGTTCTTAATGTATCTTCCCTCATACCACAGTGGAGATCTCTCTAAATATTCTGTTAATTTTTTTGGCTAGGCTCTTCATTGTCTTGTGATGTCTTACTTTCCTTTTCTTAGCCCAACAAATCCTGTATACAGACTCTAGAGGCTCTCGTATATGCATTTTTTTTAGAAAGTTGAAAATATACAGGAGAAAGAGAAAGCAGCGAGAACAAAGTGAATAAATGTAAGAGGTGAGACGGTGAGAGACAATAAGGAATTTTGAAAAGAGCTTCACCATCATTGTATACAGGAATATAGACGTAAGGCTCATCGTAGACAGTATTCAGTAGCTGCACCACTTGTATAGCAAAGAACGTATTTGTTATTGTGGAGGCGCTAAACCCGTAGTGATTATACAGCGCCGGGGGGGGGGGGGTTGGAAGGCATTCAGACTCAATTCAGGGAACTGGAGCATAGAACAAACTCCCTAGATCCAGAGTCCCACACCAGCATCAAGGAACGTCCCTTGAGGAGAGCAAGACAGAAGACACTACAGCTGGCTGCAAACTGCCGCAGCCCAGTCATAGAGCCAACTGCACCCTTGTTACTGGAAAACAATCATCCTCGCTCCAGCCATATGGTCGGATTCAGTGGACCACAGCCACAGGGTCTTTAACAGTACCTCCTCCTCCTGCATCGTTGATACTCCTTGGAAGAGGCACTGAATGTGTCATCTGACCTATACCCATGTCAGGACACCATTTCCTGAAGAATGTACATACATGAGTGCCGTCTGGCTCATGCACCTCAGACACGCTGTCATAACCTGGTGCTCCGGCAACTTCTTGTACTGTAATTATATCTTTGATGGTTTCTCATTGTCTCGATGGTTGCATGTCTGATAGCCTCTCGTTGTCTTGATGTTGCATGTCACGTGCGAGCGCATCAAACGTTACGCATCAATTTTTTTTTATTAATATTAAAAGTTTGACATGTTTTGATTGAGAGTGATTGGGCTGGTGGTGGTGGGAGGTGGCTTTCATTTAGATGACAAATGTGACCTTTTGTAGTGGTTATGAAGCACTTTATTCTCACAACAAGGAGGATTTACTCTCAGAATTACACGTTCTCTATTTTTCTTCTGACAACTCGTTTCCAGACGTATTGCAGATGTTTTTTGTGGTTAAATACAATTTTTATTAACTTGAATAATGAAACTGATCATTGATCAAGGCTGAGGGACTAATTACCTCGATATTACCTCTCCACCTCTGTCCTCTGTGTCATAATCCCCTGTATTCGACTGAGGAAGCCTGAAAAGATACCCAGGTGTTCCACGTGTATCTTACCATGATTTTGTGATTAAGAGTTCAAATGTACTGTTTGATTTTTTAATCTGATTTAAAAAAAAAATTCTTCACAAATGTTAAAAAAATCATTGTCTCTCAGAACGGCATATCCAAAATCTCAATAAAATATCCCACCTGTGCCTCGTGTAAATGACAACCACAGTAACTTTTTTAGCTAAAAGAACATTTAGGTGTATTTCCTGGACCAGGCATGTGCCTCTATTCCTCCACTAGCTCCCATGTAAGATAACGGTGATCAGTAGTGACTTTCGGTACATTGTCCAAGTAATGCTAGTTGTTTCATCTCTTGGTTTTGTTGCCTAGTAGTAATAGATACCTAGAATTTAGTAGATTGTGGTGGGTAGCTTCCTAGGGAAGATTACTCAAGGACTCCTTGGTTTTCCTGGGTTAATAAGCCGAGTGTAGTATTATTTTTGTCTTATAGACTTCACATAGTATCATTTAGGCTGCAGTTCGTATGTACACTAATAATGCTTAAAATGTAAAATCTGCGCTCGTATACTGTGGGCGATATACATTTGTATGTGTATTCCTTGTGTGATGGTGTTGTCCGTGCAGTGTGCTGGAGTATTAGCGTTGGTGTAGGTATCTGGTGTGTTGATAACCTAGTTATACTAAGTGCTGTGGTAGAGGGCACTGACTCTGGCTAAAGTCAATGGACCGCTCTTCTAGGCTGGAGATGGTCACTGCTGATGTGTCACTACTGGTGTCAGTGCCATTGCTGGTGTCAGTGCCACTGTTACCAGACAGTGATACCTCCAATACAAGTTTTAAGGTCCCATATTCCATTACCACTGTGAAAGTCTCGATGTACTGACTGCAAACACTGAAGCTTCGACATTAAGCACACTGTCCATCCCCGCCCTCGTTTATTTCCTTCACTGTTTCTGTACACTTCCCGTCTCCCTTCTCTTACCCAATATCCTGATCCTCTTCCCGTCTCTTAGTGTTTTTTCATCCAATTAATAATTTCTTAATATCAGGTAATAATGTAATGTGGCTCTATCTGTAAGCTCACAATTTTATAAAGACACAGCAAAGAACATTTTTATACAAGAACCTCTCTTAAGAGGTCTTTGATGCTGGTTAAAGGTTCTTGACTCCAGGAATTGGATCTGACTTCCCCATCCTTGGATGGAACCTGCTTACCTCCCATTACTCCAGGCGCTGTATGGCCTCTACGGGTTTAGTACTACCCCATGAATGTAATAATGGTAATATACAAAGTTTCACCCACTTAGGGCTTCATCTAGTAGCGCAGGGATTAATGCTTTGGGCTCGCTACCGAGGGTAAGTGGGGTGAAAACCCAAAACCCGCACGAAGCGAGACGTTTGGGCAAGTCTTCCTGTCACCTGGCAGTAAATAAATTACTGGAAGTTAGTAGACTGTTAGGGGTTGCATCCTGGGTAAGGACGTAAAATAGATTCCACTGGAAGTAAATCACATAAATTATTTTTAATAGATTCTAAGTTACTAACCCTTTGGGGTTAATAATCCGTATAGTCTTCTTACCTTTATAAAATAAATTAAATGAATCGTCGAAAGTACACACGACATGCTGCCTGTTGACAATGTGTGAGCACCCAAGAAGCTCCTGTGAAGTGAAAGTGGTGACCTCACAGCTTGCAGTGTTTGCCTCAGCACAGCACGAGCCAAGCAGAAGCCTTATAAATACTTTCTATTATTATTCATGGTTTTGCATCCACGTGAAAATAGACGATTGAAAAAAATATTTACGAGACAGAGAACCAATATTAATGTCATGTCACAGTGCTTGCACAATGAAGGAGGGGTGGTGGGGATGTTGCAGTTTGGCGGGTCTTGTGAACTGTAATGTCAGCACTTCTGGCAAGACACTGATTGAATGAGTAACGGTGAGCTTTTTCTTATGCCTGAGTGTTAATTAAAATTAACATTTCAAGCATTTTTGAGCAACTGTATTCGGTGAAACTGAAAAAGAGATGTTCACACAAGCACAGTGAATATAAGATCCCAAATTTGAGGCGATTTGATGTAAGCATTAATAGATGTAAATAGATAATGCAGATCGTAAGTAATCTACATTTAAGTGAAAACACTAACTAAAAAGACTGGTCAGTTTTCAAGGAGAGAAAAGTTAGGGGAGGGGGAAAGGTGTGGAGAGGAAGATAATGATATCTGAGATCTGAGGGGGAGAGAGAGAGAAGTGAGGTGATAGAAGGATTTTGGAAGGGAGCGAGTAAGGAGAGAGGAGAGGAGAGAGAGGTGTGAAGGAAGGAAGGAAGATAAAGTGCTCAGAGGTGTGAGGAAGGGGAAGAGATTCCGATCGTTTTTGTGAAAGAAATGTCAACTGGAAACTGTTAATTAATAGACGGACGCTGACTCAGACACGCCATTCTTCTGCTACACAAGACCTCATACTCTAATAAACTACAAACATTGTCTTCGTGCGATGAATAACTCAGTGGTAAGAATTAGGCTCGCAACCAAGCAGAGATCCGTATTGAATCCACGAGCTGGTGAAAAATGTAAGCAATTTTTTTTTGAAAGCCCCGAGTAGGATTATTATTATTATTATAATCAAGGGGGAAACGCTAAACCCGTAAGATTATACGAGTAGGATAAAGACAAATACATTTACATGGAAACGGCGGTGTTAGAACCTTGAACCCTGCTGAAAGTCATTTCCTGGGAAAGAGGCCATTGTGTAGGAAAACTAAAGATCTGCTAGAAGTATTGGTGATGGTAAACGGTATGCATGTGTCTAATGGTGCTCGTAAAACACTTTAAGACCCACAACACAGATGGACCTTTCATATTTATTGTTGAGAGAGCGAGCAAGCGCGCCACTTGGCCAAGAATCAGTGATGTAGTGACAACAGACGTGCGCTATGCGCAAACCAGAAGTCATCTGCTTGATAGTGGTGCACTGGATTGCTAGGAATACTAGGCTAAGTATTGTGCATACCTGAATACTTAAAATAACTCCCGAGTTTTTACATAGTAGTTAGCTAAGCTTTTAACAATGATGGTAGCGAGGCTAGCTTTCGAAGGATGAGTCCTGAGGAGTTCTTGCTTCATCAGTAAGTCACTACTAATTGCCAAAGCCTCACCACGGGGTGTGATTGTAAGTGCAACAGATTCATGTACGTATAAATTAGAAAGCCTATTTAATTAATCTGTTAATGGTGCCTGGATAACCCCCCCCCCGGCCCTCTTTCAGACCACGCAACGCGTAAAAGCTACAAAAAAGAGAACTACAAAATTCACATAGGAAAGTAAAGTATATAATGTAATTCGAAGTTTGAAAAGATTACCTGTTATAAATTTTCATAAGTCAAGAAAGAACAAATCTGCCAGAATGCAAATCGTTTGATAAGCTTTCGTTTCAGACTCCTACGACAGGAGGGTAGTATCGCCCTGGACAAGTTTTAATTCATCTATAAACCGTGCATCAGATGACCAGAGAGCGAGCGAGCTCAGTCTAATAGTTATTTCTTGCTTATTGTTTAAACAACGAAGAGTTCTGCTTAAAGTCCTTGTCGTGTGGAACTAGGGGTGGGGATGGTTGTGGAAAGATGATGGATGGTGGTGGGGGCGAGTGAAAATGAGATGAGTGGGAGGTGATGGAAACGGGAAGGGGAGTACAGGGCGGGAAAGGAGAAAGGTATTTAAAGGGGTATTTTGAGGAAAAAAAGAGGGGGAGAAGAGGATGAGGGAGGTGAAGTGACTCGCCTCTGCCAGCAGCCCTCCGTCACGTCTGCTCCGCCATCCTGGATTTTATAGGGAGCATAATAAAGCGATCAAACCAAGAAGGGAGAAGCAGATAGGCGAGGAGAGTGAGTGCCAGGGAATCGAAGGGTAAGGAAGAAGTGAGACTAAAGAGGGAGGGGGTGAGAGGAAAGAACGACGAATAATATAGGAATGGAGAGAATGAGGTGTAAGGTGCAAAGTAGGGGTGAAGAGGAAAGGGTGGGGACGACAGAGGGTGAGAGCGAAGAGTGGCGAGATGGCGGTATGAAAGATGAGATGAATGGAATAAGAAGAGACAAGACGAGAGTGGGAGAGATTAAAGCAAGTGAAAGGCCTGAGACTGGAAAGGAGGGAGGGAGAGAAGGAGAGAAGGAAGGAGTTTTTATACCAAACGAGCTCATCAGCATGGTGCGGCTGCCCTATTCTGTAACGCAGCTTATGGTTCCCCTTTTATATTCTATCACACAGGATGAGTTGCATGCACGAAGTAATAAAATCTGTCAGCCTGAGCTGGGAGTCTTAAGTAGGATGATCGGCAGATCAAGTATTCCAGTATGAGTTCACCAGCTTCAAGGTAATAGTAACTGTAGCTTTGCTGGAGTTACTATTGCTTGAGAATTACTATCGGCCAGGATGACATTTCACAGGAAAAATAGAATTCACGAAAATATCATAATCACAGCAAAAATTATGAAAATATTATAATCTTACGGGTTTAGCGTTTCCCCTTTGATTATAATGATAATATGCACACAGACACGCGCACAAGTGATCAAGTGAGGTAGAAAGAGAAAGCTAAGGAAAGGGAGGGATGAAAGCAGTCTCCAAGTTTCACTCTCGTTATTAACGGTAGAGTGTACGTAAATATAAGTTAATGAATGTTAACCTAACCAAGTACAATTATATATCATTTTTGCCTCGCAGTAATGCGACAAGCAACCTGTCCTTTATAGGAGGACAAGTTGCTGGTTGCCCTGCTTCCGTCTGCAGTATAAACATGCAAATAGTGGTTACTTCTGCTTGGCAACGAATGCGACTGAATTTGTCGCGTCTTCTCATTGGTTCGTCCAGGGCTCGCGCCCCCTGGCTGCCGTCACTTTATACAAATGGACAAAATACATTCCCGGAAAGGATCGACTAAATCTTATACTGTACTCGTACTTTAAGTGTGTTCAAATATCATTGGGAATGAATCTAGGGTAGATTTAGTCGCTTGATAACAGAACTGGCCTGGAATGTATACGAGGTCTTCGTTAAGAATCGCAGCCACTCACTGTAATGGAATACTATATATTTACTGCAGATTTCATGCGATTGAAATCCAGAGAGAGAAAAAATAGTGTAAGACTGTTGGAATCAGTTGCGAAAATGAAATTAAAATTTCAGTTTGAAGAGGACATTGTGCTATCCAACAGCCAAAAAACGACATCGTATTGTTTGATATAATTAGATTAATTAGTAATGATGCAGTAATATTGGATGACTTCTGTAACCATGATGTCACCTGGAACTAAGTTTCAGATGACTAAGAAACTATTTAACAAATCAGTATGTTAGTAATCAGCTTATCGCTGCCATAGTATATGGATCCTGTCCTCACAAGATACACGATATACATTCATGTGAAGTGCCAGACAACAAGATAAGTGGCCACCATATTATCATATTGGAAATAAACATATTTTGAGATCCAAGGCAGTTATATGACTGTTTTGAACTGCAAAGTAGTAAACGTGAAGGTGCGCTGAGCTCTCGCTACAAGACTGGCCAGGACAATGTTCTGCAAGACTGGCCAGGACAATGTTCTGCAAGACTGGCCAGGACAATGTTCTGCAAGACTGGCCAGGACAATGTTCTGCAAGACTGGCCAGGACAATGTTCTGCAAGACTGGCCAGGACAATGTTCTGCAAGACTGGCCAGGACAATGTTCTGCAAGACTGGCCAGGACAATGTTCTGCAAGACTGGCCAGGACAATGTTCTGCAAGACTGGCCAGGACAATGTTCTGCAAGACTGGCCAGGACAATGTTCTGCAAGACTGGCCAGGACAATGTTCTGCAAGACTGGCCAAACAATGTTTGCAAGACTGGCAGAATATGTTCTGCATGATGCACAGGACAATGTTCTGCGAAGATGGTCAGTACAGTTGTTCGAAGACTCGCCAGGACATGTCTGCACGATGGCCAGACAATGTTCTGCAGACTGGCCAGACATTTCTGCAAGACTGGCCAGGACAAGTTCAGTAAATGGCAGACAATGTCTGCAAGACTGGACCAGGGACAAGTTGAAATTGAAAATGTTCTGTGAAGATGGACATGGCATTCCAAACTGCCAGACAAATGTTTGTTAGATCAGAATTAATGTTCTCAGTAATGAGGACAAGTTCTGGCAAGACTTCCAGAACATGTTCGTCACTGGAGGACAAGTCTGTAAGATTCAGGAATGCTTGTAAGATGAGACATTTCAAATCCCAGAAATGTTTGTAAATGCGGTACTGCTGCCATAGTATGGCAACCTGTCTCAACAAGAACACATGTAATTCTGTAAGATGGCCAGACACAGATTAAGTGGCCACCCAATGTTCTTGAAATGAGACAATTTTGTAGATGCCAGGCAATGTTTGAAGACTCGTTTTCAGAACTGGCAGAAATGTGAAGGTGCGCGGACATGTTCTAAGACTGGCCAGGACAATGTTCTGCAAGACTGGCCAGGACAATGTTCTGCAAGACTGGCCAGGACAATGTTCTGCAAGACTGGCCAGGACAATGTTCTGCAAGACTGGCCAGGACAATGTTCTGCAATGTACTGAATAAGTAAGAGGCCAGAACAATGCTATAAATAAATAAGCACAAGAGCTTTGGAAATATCTTAAATTGTCATGACATTTCTGGCATTGAGAACCCTGATAATCCACTTGATAATTATGTTGGTCGTGACCACCTTCGTGAATAAGCTGTTGTCTGGGACTTCTTTACTTGTGCTTTACCTGTGACTGGTTTGGTTTCGAGGGTTCTTCTACACCTCCAGCTAGACCTGAACTCTGGTCTCATTTTGTCGACAAGATTACTAAACTTTGATTCATACTTTTCTTTCAAGGCATTTCTCTGATTTCTTCAGGAATAGTGTATTTGCCTCATGTATAAGGACGAGTCTTGTATTTGAACTTGTTTTTGGTTGAGTTTTGCTTTTTTTTTTTTTTTTTTACTCTTTCAGTGACCTGTTTATCTTATTTCTAATGTTTGTATTGTTATATTTCTCGATATTCTCTTTATAAACTTTCTTAAATATGATAGATACGTATTTGGTTTGTTTGAACAATCATTAAAAGACACTGTATAAAGTCTTTTGGATTATTGTTTGAAATATTAGACTGTTTTCACGGAAACATATTTCAGTACTGTGTTTTGTATTCATGTTTTCCAGGCATTAGTTTGGCATCATTGTTCAGGCGTTTCTCCCAAGGAATGCTGGAATGTTTCTTGTTTATCTCGCTTATTGCAACAATCTTTTGGAAGTCTTATTGACTGAAGAACCCCTGACGTTTAATGTCTATGGGTCGTCGTGCCGGAATTTGCTCTTTAATTCAATGTTGTGATTCGAATCGGTTGTATTTGAGGTGATGTCTGATTAGTTCCTCATTGTGAAGATAAAACTAAGACTGTTATAATTTCTGGTCTGTTCTGTCACATGTTGGTCATCGTGAATTTGCCGGAGAGAAATCTCTGAAATGTGCTGTTGAAGTATGCTACTTCCAGGTAGGTAGTTACTGTGTGTCATCTTCCACAGGGTTGAGACCTTTCTTGAAGGTAAGAACCACTGTTGCCTCGAGAGAGCTAGCCTGGCCGCGTTCATCTATGTTGCAGCCCCTCGTAAAACCACCATAAACCTCTACTACTTTTGGAACGAAACATTCTCAAAATATTCAGCATGGACGAATATGCCTTAGGCCTACCCCCACATCAAAAAAAATGACCACCGAAAAATAATAGGTGGTTTTTTGTCGTTGAAATAATAAATGAACGGGAAAACAACGTGCTGTGCCACTCCCTCCCTGGCCGCACTACAATAATTGAGAGTACCGCAGAACATGGCGTCTGCCGCAGCCCCAGAGGTTGTGTGAGGGAAGAGGAAGGGTGCGAGTCCCTCTTGTCCTGTGCGTATCTTTCCGGATTGACGATGAACAGTATAGAAGACGATGAAGACAACTTTGTGACTTATCAAACAGCGAAGGGTTGAAAGCAAATCTACTTCGGAATAACACGTGGTTGACAGAAACAAAGGAAAACATGTAAGTTTATTTAGGCACAGGTACACATAAGCACGATTATCATACATAGTGTAAATTACCTAGGATAACCCAAAAAAGTCAGTGATTTATTTTCATTGGTGAATGTAACGAATGGACAGTGGCCTCCAGAGGTGGGAGGAGTATGGCATTGAGGAAGATTGAAGCAGCGTTTGAGAACAGATTTCGTTTTGCTTTTAGGACGAGTGTGCAGTTGTGGACAAGGAGGCAGGTAGGACAGATGCTTCAACACAAGAAAAAGTACATTGTTGTTAGATATTCTCAGATTTAATGGGTTAGGTTGAGATCTTCCACATCGCACCTTCGACAGGCCAGTAGGCCTGCTGCAGTGCTCCTTGTTTCTTATGTTCTTATGTATTTAAGACTCCATTCTCGTACTTTAGTTTCATATTATTCCAGGCCATGGAGCTGAACTCTTCTCCAGGCTGAGGGACTGACCACCTCAAACTATTTCTCCTAGGTTGATGGGCTGATTACATTATCATTACCTCATCACTTCTGCTGCTTACAATCCATTCTTTGTATTTGACTGAAGAAGCCTACCTCGCAGACGAAACGTTTTCAACGGTAAAGATACCCAACTGTTGCACATGTGTCTTACTCATAAGAAAAAAATATTACCGATACTAATACATAAATAAAGGACTCAGGTTAAGCCTCTTGTGATGCATTTGACAAATTTTATTTCACGGGAGGAACTGTTACACCTGCGGAGAGCCACATGTGGAACTGTTCCACCTGTGGCTCCAGTCACAAGTGGAACTTACGCACCTGTGGATGCAGCCACAGGTGGTAAAGTTCTACCTGTGGGTGAGACCTGTTTACTCACCGATTTGAGGATGAATCTTGGTGCAAACTAGAGCCGTGCCGCCAACGAGTGCTGAAGACACTAATAGTAGTGATGTCCTTTATTGGTAGAAATTTTCACTTGTGGGTGACTTGGTTGCTGGTCCCCGGCTCTTAAGCCTGTCTGCCAGCATTACTTTCTAAGTCGTAATAGCATGATTGCAAACAAATCACACTGGCCTGTGAATTTTAGGACTTTCCCAACATGGGTTCAATCCCTCACCCATTCTGCCAGGCTTGATGGTGCCTGACGTCATCATCATCACACCTATTCTCTAAACTGTTCATAGTTTCCTTGCTTTCCAAACAATCCCAAGACCCCACAAAGGGGAAAAATAATAATTATTAATAATAATTTCTGTAAGTACATAATGCTAGTGAAGGACTTGTGATTCAAGAAATGTGATCAATCTTATCCTTGCTCTATTAAAATTATTATCTCCCGCCCCCAGGCGCAGTAAGACCTTGTCGAGTGCGATACTTCCTTATCAATAATACTATTATCTACAGCCGAAAAAAAATAATATCCAGTGTTTTTTAAATTTGTTACTGTTTCCCATTATTTTTCTTATTGCTTTTCAGTCTGTCAGTTTCTCTTACTATCTTGCATGTCGTAATCATGCCTCCTATAAGTCTTTGTGTGGGTAGTAGTAGTTACTAGTTGTCAGGGGCGCTTTTCGATAGACACGTGGCTTGTTTTGTGTGTGTGTGTGTGTGTGTGTGTGTGTGTGTGTGTGTGTGTGTGTGTGTGTGTGTGTGTGTGTGTGTGTGCGTGCGTGCGTGCGTGCGTGCGTGCGTGTGTACTCACCTATTTTTGGTTGCAGGGGTCGATTCGCAGCACCTATGTGGGGGGGAGGGAGAGGGGTTGTAATACTTGGCTCTGCCTTCCTCCTCCTCCTCCTCCTCCTTCCATTCATCTTAGCTTTATATTCTATCTAGTGGTTTATGTCCCTTCTTCCCCCCCTTCCCCATCTACTGCCCGCGCCAGTTTTCCCTTCACTGGCAATTGGCTGAGCACCGTGTCCCCTCCTTTTTCCCCCTCTTCGTCTCCCCCTCTTAAACCCTCCCTCACCCCCATCTTGCAGTCGGTGGAGGAACCTTGGTATTGACTCACTCCCGCTGCACCACCGCAGACTCCACCCCTTAACTCCTACTCTTCATTCCACTCCTACTTTTCACTCCTACTCTTCGTTCCTTCTCTTCACTCCTACTCTTCATTCCACTCCTACTTTTCACTCCTACTCTTCGTTCCTACTCTTCACTCCTACTCTTCATGAAACTCCTGCTCTTTACTCTTCATTCCACTCCTATCCTCCTTTCAGCACCACTCCTGCCCTTGAGTACACTCCGGTCCTCTCATCCACTCTACTTTTGCTTCGTAACTCAGTGGCAGCATGTTCGGTTTGAAATAGAAAGTACTTGGGATCGAACCCTGGGCGATGCGGGACTTATGGACAAGTCTCTTAACACACACCTCCGGTTTCCTAACAGTAAATACGCTGGAGTTACTGTTGTGGGTGGCATCCTGGGAAAGGACCTTAGTAAGAGGATCCCAAGTGGTAGGAAGCCACACAATTTGCATTTCTTGGGTTATCCTGGGTTATACTCCACTTAGGATAATAAGTAACCATCCATAGAGATACCACCGTCTTCTCATACTAGGGGGATACATAAGCCTGTTAAATGTTTTGTAAACTGGCAAGATTTCTGGACTTTTCTTTGTTTCATGAACTCATAAGATGGCAGATTTCCACTTACACAGTAGAACTTAGTTATGATTATATTATTAATAATTCCACTTGCTCAGTTCTACTTAGTCAGTATACACATGTCTTTCCTGTGCGCTTCTTAATAGTTATTATTTTTGTAATATCTATATTCTGATTTAGGTGGGCTGGTCTGAGCCGGGGGGTCATTGATTCCTGGAACTGTTAACTTAATAAGTCGTTCTTTACTCAAGTGACGGTGATCACGTGTGAACATGACAAGTAGCATATACACTGACAAATCATGACTTGGGTGCATCATCATTCATGATGGGGTGCATCATCCCTGGAAAATGATGTCTATATGAGAAATGGGGTGCATCATTTTTAGTTGGCTTAGTGTTAACCAGCTCAGGTGAGGGAGGTACAGTTACACATTAAACTGGTAGAAGCTACACGTATGAGTGTGCTTGGGAAGGAGAC